ATACAACATGGGTTCTTACCAGGATGATACGTGGTTATGTTAGTAGTGATCAAAGCAGATGGTAAAGTGGGTGTTACAGTGGCTGGGAAAAAATTAAATACAAACAGTTGAAAGCATGGATAGCACAGCAGGTAGATGGATGGTGTTAAACAAAATTCAGCATTATGTAGATGTATGGCTACCACTATTTGCCTCTTTTGTCAACTTTTTTTCAAAGTAAAATGGAACTAAATTCTAATATACATACGCAATGGCTTAGCCAATGCTAGTTTTGCAATTTGATCTTATACTTCTAGAAAGCTACTAGCATTGCTTTTTATAATGAAGACTTGAATAACATGTATAACAATAACTTAAAATATAGCTGCAGTCAAGGCTTTTCTTTAAGTTTGAATGAATGGGGAATGGTTAGAGACTCCATTAGGTTTTCACTGCTGTCTATGTCACCATTGGGGAGATTTTCCCCATGTCCTGCCCCAGAGAGCACTGGGATGTGAAGGAAGTTCTTTTCAATAGAGACAACATAAGGAACATTTTAAAATTTTGTATCTAAAAAAAACCACAATACATTTAGTTATTTAGATTTAAAAATTACTGATTTAATTTTGGCTAAAGGGTGAAGGGGGTAGGCTGTAAATAACTGTGGGGTCCAATGTTGATTTCTAGAGATACATATACCCTCCAATTAGGCCCTATTTTTAGAAATTAAATTCTGGCTCCGATAAAGCAGGAAAAACAGCAAAGGGGGTGTAAAGAAGACTGCTAGACAGATGAACCACAGTAAAGCTGGCCATGTGCTGCTTGAATTTGCATAGTGTTTGTTTGCATACAGAAGCCAGTAGAGGTCTATCATTTGTGATGGGAGTAGCTACGGGTCATCAAGACTGACGTGTATCTACATCTCCGCATGATATGATATATGTTGGATTTAAATTGGAGAGACATTTTTTTCTAATAAAGGACTTTTTTCATGGTGTGGGAGTTTCCGTGTACAATTTACATGCGTACTATGTACTCTTTCATCTAGGAGGGGTCGGATTTTTGAAGGCCCTTTTATTCTAGGGGTCTCTAGATTTCGATGTGTACCCCTCTCACTACAGCCCACCACATCCACATATGTGTGGATAAGGCTCTAGCCCCAGTCAACATGGGGGCAAGGTGTCTTGCCTTTCCCACCTCCCCTTGCATGGCACCCTACCAATGTTGAGTGCATGTGGTATTGTTCAGGAGGAAGGAAACACACTCACTGCCCCTCCTTTCCTGAACACCCAGCATGCATGCCTGGATAAGGGTCTTTTATAAACTCTTAGCGGCCCATACCATAAAAGTGTTCTGTCCCTTTAATAAAAAACCCACAAACGGTGTAGCAGTCCCCCTAAAGGACCCTTATGTGAGTCTGTAGAGTGGGTGGCCAAGAAAGACTCCCACCCCCTCCATGCTGATGGGGACAAGGGCCTCATCTCCACATTTTGTCCCCAAAAAGGAATGTGGGGGTCTGTTGAGGGGGAGGATTAAGCAGATTATGGAAGCCCACTTTAGAAAATAGGGGGCCCCTAATATCTGCCCCCACCCCCTTGGGTGGTTGAGAACAGGGTACATAGTATACCTTGTTATGCATTTACAAAAACGGAAATAGCAAATAAAAACACCCATGACATTAAAAAGTACTTTATTATTAAAAAAAATGAACAGTGTCTCCTGATGTACACTAAATCCAATATCAATCACATAGTCCAGCAATGTAGACACTTGTCAATCAGAATGATTACCTAGCCATTGATGTTGACCAGTCGACGTGATGACACACCACGATAATCTTCACCCAGTGCTATTTCCATCACAAATGACCAATCATAGCCAACTGCTGTATGTCCGGGGATGGTGAATGATGTAATTGACCAAATTATGTCAACCAGCCAAAATTGTTGTTTTAGTTTTGTATGCTGTGGAGAAAGGTTGGAAACCCTGTCGCGTTTTTACTACGGGCACAACAAATTAATATGGAATATGGTACAAACCAGAAGCCAGCTTGTTTGTTTTTTTGAGGAGCCAAGTTCCATTGGCAACAACTAGAGAAAATCTCAAAAGTTAGATGCCAGCTGTCATTTTTAAGGAGCATTGGCTACCTAGTCCCTGGAATGTGTCCATCACTGTTTTACTGTATGTGTCCTGGTTGGTTACCACTTGTCAGCAGAAATGAAGAGAAATGTAACCAATGATAACACATGCAGCAAACAAAAATCAGACACAGGTTCTACTCCTTCCCCATTTCACCAAAAATGTTTTTACTGCTGTCTCTGTCCATTATTTCCTATACAGTTTAATGTCTTTCACCAACAGACTAAGAAAAAGGTCAGGAATGGTAATAAAAGCCTATCAGAGTTTCTAACCGTTCGCTGATTTATCCCAAAATTTTAAAACGATTTGGCTGGAGTTACACCTTAATATGTCAAATAAACTTCTTATGATGTTAACCGTTACACTTCTGTTCCAATTGAATAACATTTTATATGTAGCATATGTTTTCTACCACTTTCAAAAATATTTCACAGTACATCATATTTGGTGTGCACTTTGATTTTTCAATTATGTACTTCAGACCATCTTTGCAGTTCCAGAAGCTGTGAAACATAGTTTGATGGAGTTTGATGGAAAGCCAGCATTCTTCTGGAGTGTGGGCTTCCCAGAATTCCTCTGGATCATGTACTCTAAACTACTCTTTCTTAATGGTACTCTCTAGTCATTGCCGCTATTTTTGCACTAAGGGTGAGAATCCCGCCATCCCTTAAAGTCACTGAACTAATAAGATATTACTATATTTCCTTGTAAGGAGTTCATCTCAGTCATAAGGGTTTACATTGTCAAGAAATGTGTCATACACAGAAAATAACCCAGACAGAGGGAGAGCATCTACTTCAACAGTCAATGACCCCCAAAGCTACGCCCCCTACCCCACCCCGATCAGCATAAGTTGGGGAATGAAAAGGGAAAAAGTCCACACTCTGTTCTCCTTTTTCAAGCAATTCGTTGTGGAATATTAATTCTGTTGTCTAGGCTAAACACAACTGATACAATTGCAAGTGCATATTTACTTGAGTATTTAAAGATGATCAAATTATAGCATAGATTAAAAAAAAAGCTAACACCACCGAAAGGAGGATGCAAATCTCATGCATAACATGCATGAGATTGGAAAACGACTAAAATATACAGATGCTCATAATGATGCAATTATGATGTCTGTTCATTGGAAATAGTGCTTTGACATTGTATCAATAAATGCAACAAAGCCCAACTAAAATGTCAGTTAAAATCAGCTATATTCCAGCTCCATCATAACAAAAGGTATGCAAAATCTTACAGGTTCTCCCCATTTGGGAAAAAGAAAAGAAGAACACTTGTTCTCTGTGTGAAAGCAGTGGTCTCTCTCCAGAGGTCCAATATGCCCCCTGCTGAGCCAGCGATAGAGGTCTCCAATTATAAGGGAGCATGAGCTTTGACTGCAGAGCTATTCACCTGATTCAGCAGGGAGTGCATCAGACCACTACAGAGAGACTACTGCTTCCACACAGAGCAAGAGTACTTCTCTACAGCATGTATTAAACTGCTGTAAACTGAAACATTAATTGGGCTTTAGATATGCATCCACATATTCAAATTATTGATCACATGAGTTTCAAATATTAGAGCATTAATTTGTTGATTTAGTACTTGATTGATGTTGATTTATCACTAGAAGCACGTTTCAACTGTATATTTTAATTACATTTTGTTTTCCAGAAAATGATTTTACAAATATACAGACACACGCATAATATGGAAGATTTGCTTTCTTACCATATGTGATATTGGTAGAAGGAAAACTGTTAGTGATGATAGCAGTGGTTGGTAAAAATGGTACATTAGACTGTGAAATTACACGAGGTGGCATGGATGATGAAGATGTTACAGTGGATGATCTAGTTACAGAGGTTGTTGAGGTAGTAGTACGTGTAGAAGTTACAGTGGAAGCCACTGTAGCTGCTAATAAACAGAAGACATAAATCAGTAAAGAATGTAATGCAGCATAAATATGCAACGTAAAACCTGAAAGGAAATGAAGATGTGTATTTTATACCATATTACTATAAAAAATAATTATTATCATTAATAGGGAAGTAAGCACCATAACAGACTTTTGCTATTAAATGGTATGCAAATAATTAGGATAATTCTGTTATTTTCAAAGGGTGATCTTTACTCCTACAATATGACTTGTAGTGAGTTTTTCATGGAAGGCCATGCCGTCAGAGCCTACTGTTATGAAGACATTGAGAATCAATAAAAGTTATTGGAATGGGAAATCATAGCTGCCAGAATGTCATGAAGTTAAGTGTTAGTGGCTATTTTTGTGTACAACTTATATCAGGACTGGACAATTCCCAGGTGCCAGGTCACCATGGCGACTGAAAAAATTATAAAAAACTTTCCGGGGACCTGGTCATTGAGAGATATTGTACTCTACTGTCTGGTAGGTCTCGCTGCACATGGAGGCGGTAAGAGAGATTTGAATCCCCTGGGTGCTCTGGCCTTGGCAGAGATCTCTATGGTTGGGCGCAGGAACACAATTTTGGTTCACACTTTGTTATGGTTTATGTAAAACAGAAGGTGGGCAGTGGCTGAAGGCTGAAGTGTAGCTGTGTTGAGTGACACGGGTCCCCTGGAAGTCGCTGCTGACAGGTGAGGTGGATGTGATGGTCGGGGCACCTGGCTCTTCCACTCAGATCCTCCCACCCACACTCACCATGTGCTGTTTGTATGTATTAAACAAGCTACACATTTTCTCTATATTAAAGTAGAGTCATGTTGTTCATCTTAATTTAATTGAATGAGTGTATGTTTGCACTATTCTGGTTCTGAAGGAATAATCAATGGATAGGTAGAAAAAAGATAGATAGATAGATAGATAGATAGATAGATAGATAGATAGATAGATAGATAGATAGATAGTTTAGGAAAATAAAAATGTTTCATTTAAATTGGAACTCAAGCCAAAACTTTTTCTAGTTTTGGATTTTAGCATCACATTATTGCTGTCTGCATCCTCCTTGGAGAGATCCACTCTTGTTATTTGTACTGGTAACCATTGTCACTAGGATAGAAGGTGAGGGGGAATCCAATATTTTACAGGTGCCGCTGGAACAGAAATAGAAAAGATGTCCACAAACGAGGACACCAGTTCTGGTGTCAGCTGTCAATAGTAGGATTTAGTCTTGCTTTGGCAAAAGTTTCACTCACTTCCTGCCATTCCTCTGGAACTGGAAGTGAAGGGAAATTTCTCTGGCAGACATACCATAATAAAGCCTGCCAGAGATTCACATGCTTTAACACACATAAAAAAATGCTTTGACTGGAGTTGCACTTCAACCATCACAACTATGAAAGACTAATTTATGATCTATCTTAGATAGCCTACACTATTCATAGTGACCGGTCAACAACCAAGTGAAAAGATTATTTTTAAGATTCTCCAAAATTATACTGGAATAAGGAAAGGAAGTGGTGTGATTAGATGCAATGGACAATACAGACTCAAGCAACACTTGCCTAAGATCCTTTGATTCGTAAGTTTCACAGACTTTTAGCTTTCTGGGGCAACAGGCAGCATTAGACATGCAATATACATAAAATATACATGCAACACCACAATGCTAATTAAGGCTGTAAAATGTTGGGCACAATGGTTCTGGTTAGAGTGCCATGACTATTAGATAGAAATGGGAAATACCAGACTCTGTCTGCATCACGTACAACAATTACTTTTACTACTTGGAAAGAAAACAAAACATTCAGTTGCAGCAAAGATCAATGAGACAGCAGAAATCTGTGAGCAGCAAAACAGCTGTAAAAATAAAACATAACCCAATGACACCAAATAATAGGCAAGGAAAGAAAGTCCCAAAGCCAATCTGTAGGAAAGGTCAGCATCCCATTGTGTAGCACTTTGCAGTCATGCAGATGATTCCTCAAGGTATTGATCAAAGCTATTTCACTCTGTGTGATTTGGCCTGTGCTAAAAGTAACAATCCCAGCAGTTTTGCTTTATACGAGGAGATCATTTAACAACACTTGTGGTAAAATCCTCAAAGATACTTCTTATTTTCATTACATTTTATAAGGTAATTTCAAAAGTGCTCCTTTATTATTCAGCATTTAAGTTAGCTGCCTGGAAAAAAAAGACATGGGGAATATGATGCCAGTGGCCCAGATTTTGCGCAAGATCACAACCATGGTGGTCTCTAGAAATGCTGCTGATCAGAAGTAGTAACCTATGTGTGACAAATTAAATCTGTGAACTGCACAGTTATGCGGAGCTTCTACACAAGATATTTGAACTATATGACCTTCAGAATCATGCATTAATCGCATTAATCGTAAACAAAAAAAAAGGTTAAAACAAACATATATAAAACATATTTACATGACATTGTTTTGATAAAAACCCGCATTTATAGTATCAGCATGGTACATTTCTACCTTGACAAACACCAGCCAGCTTTTCACAGGTAGTTGGTTCTGTTGAAGGAGTTGCTGGTAGGGAAGTACCTGCAAGTAAAAAAATAGAATTGCAAATTTAGGATCAATTTTAGCTGCATCTACATTAGACAATTTTTGTACTTAATGTACAAACAGACATGGCCAAGATGCAGAAATTTTGATTAGAGTGATACTTGACTAATGGACATAAAGCGTGTTAGAAAATGAACAGATTTATGTCAATAATAATAGTTTAAAGAAACTCTACACAGGAAAAAAAGTGATTTATTAGTAAAGAATGTAAGCAGCCCCAGAAGCATATTCTTACCATTCCTTTGCTTCCCCAGCTACTCTGTTTAGTGGGAGCTTAAGGAAATACCCACCTGGTACCTCCAGGAATGGAGAAACATGTGACTCACTTAATGTGCCACATGGGGAGTCCATAGCCTTGTATAAGCAATGACTATGTAACTACAGTACTACATGACAGCACTATGTAAGCACAGTATAATAGTATTTACTAACCACATGTTGGTTCCCATTCTCACTTAAGCATGAGCATTTACAGGCAAATTTGCAGGTTTTTGTGTGTGTTTATGAAACATTTTCAGGATTGAATGTTTTGGGGGTTTGTTAACTAATGAAAAGTTAGTTACTAGATGGAGGCTGCACATAATCACAAAGAAAGTGTGCTACTCATGCTTTTCAGGCACTCCAATTGAACTCTAGGGGACCAAAAACACGTGATGCTGCCCCCCAAAAAAGCTAATGAACTTTCTGGAGCTACAAGTGACAAGTGACACAATGATCAGGTGTGAAAAGGCACTATTGAAAATAATGTGATTTTTCACGTTAAGCATTGTTGCACCTCGAGAAATGCGCAACAAAATGATAAGGTGTAAATGAGGGCTTACTGACAGGTCCTGTATGTATGATTACAAGTTTCACTGCGTCATAACAAGTATTTTACACACATGATGAACAAGGTCCCATTTACAAGAGGTGGAGACACTCTGAAAATGATATACACATTATTGTACTTTAAATCATTTACATTAGTAATCACATGTGTTACTGTTATACGGTTCCCAGCACATACCGGAAAACCCTGACAAAGCCATTGAAATGTATCACACTTTTGCATATCTGGAAATTACATTATATATGAGTTGTGAAATGACTGATCATTCTGTGGAATACTGAACTGTTCAGCCAAGTGTTAATGTAAGTATATTAAACTGAAATCACACCAGCATTTACTAGCACAAAAGTATATCGAGAGAGTGAAAGAAAAAAAAATGAGCAGATAAAATTAGTTGAATTCAATATTTTGGGGGAATTTATCAAAAATGGATCAGACAAAATCTGGAGCAGCTGTGCATGGCAACCAATCAGCTTCACTCTTCAGTTTGTTCAGTTAAGATTTGAAAATGAAAGAGAGAAGCTGATTGTTTGCCATGCAGAGCTGCTCCAGATTTTGTCTGATCCAGTTTTGATAAATTCCCTTCACTGTATGTACTTATAGCAACCTTACAGATACTTCCAATATGAAAGTAGATTTCTCCACCACCTGTGTGGTCCTTAAAATGAACATCTGTCACATTTGTCAGAGACATGTAAAAGCATCCGAAGGTGCTGGAGTGATGAGACCTGTCTGATCTCTTCTTGCCCATACACACTATTGCCTTGCAGTAACGTGGCAAAACACGTTACATGCTTTGGTGCAATGCAGTGGCATTCATTCTGAATGGCACCCGACGCACCTTGTCTACAGACATGGGTTGAAGCTATATGGCAATGGACTAAATGCGTTGCCGTGTGCTACCAAAAATGCTACATGCACCATTTTTTGGTGCAGTTTGGTGCATTAGGCAGTCCATTCATATTACTGAGGTTGCCAGGCGTTCCTTGAGCAATGGCAGATTCATGTCCCACCTGCAATGCAAGGGAGCAATTTTCTACTAACATCCAACGTAAGAGATCACTTCTGTTGACCACCAATGTAAAGGGGTTTTCTTCCATTGAGCACCAATATAAGGGGACACATCTCCACGTACCATCAATGTGAATGGGCTTTCTTCCCATGGGCACCAATGTATGTGGACACTTCTCTACTGACCATCAATGTAAAGGGGCTTTCTTCCAATGGGCACCAATGTAAGAGGACACTTCTCCACTGGCCATCAATGTAAAGGGGCTTTCTTTTCATGGGCACCAATGTAAGGGGACACTTATCTACTGACCATTAATGTAAATGGGCTTTCTTTCCATGGGCACCAATGTAAGCAGACACTTCTCCACTGATCATCAATGTAAAGGGGCTTTCTTCCAATGGGCACCAATGTAAGGGGGCACTTCTCTACTGACCATCAATGTAAAGGGGCTTTCTTTCCATGGGCACCAATGTAATGGCTCAATTCTCTACTGACCATCAATTTAAATGAGCTTTCTTACCATGGGCACCAATGTAAGGGGACACTTCTTCACTAACTACCAATGTAAGGGGAGATTTCTCTGTTTAATAATTTCCACAGTTCCAGTTTTTTTTTTGGCCATTATTATTATTTTGTATCATTGTAACATAGAGCAGGGGCTGTTGTAAAAAAAATTCTGGTCTGGGTGTCAAAATGAGTGTCAAACACTTTATGTATGCCACGGTCTTCATTCAGTTTTTTTTTAATCTACAACTTCCTGATCCTGCAAATGTACCATGAGCTGTAGATATAACAATGTTTACCTGAAAATTATTTCAAGGGTTCCTCAAGGGTAAGAAGGTTGAGAAAGGCTGTGCTATATAATAGATCTATGAATAAATTGATATCTGTTTATGGCTTATACCCTGTTTGCCTGAAAATAAGACCTACCCCAAAAATAAGACCTAGTACTATTTTTGGGAAGTGCTAAAATATAAGACCTACCCCGAAAATAAGACCTAGTTGTGACCATTGCCAGGGCCGGTGGTGGCATAAGGGGGAACCTGAAGAGCCGCGGGAGAGAATCAGCGGTGCCAATGAAGCCAGCACTAGAGGAAGCGAGGCAGCAGTGGAGGGAGCAGAGCCGCATAACCTGATGTTTCCTCTATAGCTCTGACTCCTGTCACAGGCGGAGTGATACCAAATGCACTCCACCTGTGAGGAATCGATATTGAAAGTGCGCTTTGCTTTTTCTTGTTACCAAATTGCTCTTTGAAAGGTATGGTACCCCTAATTGCCCTGATCACACTATTCTTAACTTTGCCATGTTGGATTATTTAATTTGGATTTGCATTAACTTTAGATTGTTATACATTAAAAAAATAAATAAGACATACCCCGAAAATAAGACCTAGTGTGTTTTTTTTTTTGAGCCAAAAACAATATAAGACAGTGTCTTATTTTCGGGGAAACACGGTATTAACATCTGTCAGTGGTAAAGAAAGAGCTAAACGCAAATCAGCTGTAAGAACATTTTCACGAGTGACAAAGACCATGCTACATGATAAGTAAATAAAATATGCAGAATGGGGACATTTGCTTAAAAAATATAGCATATAAAATTGCTTCATAGGCCTTTTTGCAATTTGAATGTCATTTAAAATTACTTTTCTATTTTAATCTAAAGTCGCATTCCACTGGTACTTTTTTCGGTCTCTTTTACCGAATGGTTAAGATCTGTGAAAGGAGAAAATACAAGACACATCTTGATGATGTCACTACACTTGTAGTCCAATGGCACTTTTTCCCATCATTGTTACAGAATGTCCATACAGCAGCTCCAATGCATAAAACATAATAAATTAAGAATGTATTATTTTTCTTTAAAAATGTGGACTCTGCCTTTAAAGAACACATAAATAGAGCCCGATGCATGCACTCTTCCAAATTCCACTCAGTAACAAAATAGCAACTATCCTTAACCACTTGAAGTCCGTGGTGTTTACACCCCCTCCAGGCCATTTTTCAGTATTCAGCGCTGTGGTACTTTGACTGACATTTATTCCGTCATGCAACGCTGTACTAAAATGAATTTTATACCATTTTTGTGGGGACAGATAGAGCTTTATTTTGGTGGTATTTAATCACCACCGGGGGTTTTATTTTTTACTATATTAAGGAAAAATTACAGAAAAAAAAAAACTGTTTCCCCTATATTAAATTATAAAACATTTATTATTACCCATTTTTTGGTAAAATATAAGAGACGGGGTCACGTCGGGTAAAAAGACACCAAACGACTAAGCTATGGTTTGCCTTCCTACTGATGTAATCACATCTCTACACCATGATCACTTTAATATGCTGATTAAAGATGTATGCTGAAAAATTATTTCTATATTCAGGTTATGCTGTAAGATTTAAAATTGCGGTTGGGTATACTGTTGGTTGTACCCTTTATACTGCTGTATATACCACATGTCTGATGCCTTTTTGTCCTTCCTTTTCTCTTCTTTCTTTTTATGTTTTTTTAAATTTATGTACCTAATGGTATGTTTGTATTTATTATATGCAAACCTAATAAAACTTATTGTTAAAAAAAAGACACCAAACATGTCAAGCCTTAAAATTGCGCGCACGTGCGAAACCTCAAAAAACGACAATACCCAAAATTGGCCATAGGCGACGCTTTAAAAGCTTTTACCGCTCATTAGTTTTGTGTTATCAGTGATTGATGGCCCTAGAATAATTGCTCTCTCATGTGTAGTGCAATTGTAGTTTCCGTGCGCCGACGCATCTGACGCATATTTACGTTCATATGTGCGTAAACGTGGGGGTGGGGGACTTAAACATTTGGGGAAAACTTTTGTCGAATCGTACGAAATTCCCTAGGTTGGTGGAGTTTTCGTACGTCAAAAATCGCACCATTAACACTGCTCATGCGCAAATGAAAATCTGTCCCTTCAATTAACGAAAATTCGGCCAGGTGATTTTGCTTAAGACTGCTAATTGAACTGTTCAATGGTCTGTGCATGATGGGGCCGTCATTCGAAAATCGTATGACGGTTTGATCATCGGACAAAAATATTCGTCCGATAATTGCAAGGTGTATAGCCAGCTTAAGGCTAGGTTCACACCTAGGCGATTGAGCTGGTG